CCAGGCGGGTCTTGAATCCGCGGGCTCAGGCAGTCCACTCACCTCAGCCTCCCAAAGGCGCGGGATTACAGGCAGAGCCACCAAGCCCGGCTTGTAGTTGTTCTTTATTGGAGAGAAAAAATGGGAACTTAATTAAACAAGTATTTTAAAAACTATAGCTCAGAGAATGAAGCAAAACATAAAGCCCACCTGGCAAATGTTTCCACAGCTTAGAGTGGGGCACGATTTTCACTGGTGTGCCAGAGGGATAACAGAGCCCCGGCATGTCTTCCCCACCCAGACCTGCTCCTGCCCAGTTTGAGTGGAGAAAGGCTCTTCTGCACATTCCCACGTGGGAACACGTCCCCGGGATTCACTTGGGGTGGTGTGCCAGCCTAGGCCACTTCCTCCTGCCACGGAGAGGCCATGGAAGGGACTCCCAGTCCTACATCCACACCCCCCATTAGCAGAGACCAGACTGTTGCAGATTTTCATGTTTTACCTAATTCTGTATAAATTGAAATGCATAAAAATGGTTTGTTTGCAGAAAAAGCAGGTGGAAGAATCAGTCCAGAATCAGACCTTGGCATGGGCCCTTTCCAGACACATGTCAGCTTTGGATTGTAGGACAAAACCTCCTTGTTAATGGAAGTAAAAGTTGAGTAAGAATCAGAAAAATATAAGAATTTTGTGTCTGGTTACAGTGTTATAGATTGGTGTTGACTTGTAGTTTTATTCCAGGACTCCACGTTGGCCTTTCCTCATACCTGATCATATTTCTGCATGTAGGGCTGGGCTTTGGAAGATTCTGAAGTAAGCGTAGTTCTGAAATAATCCAGATGCAGTGGTGGGAAGCCCTTGCACATTGTGACACATGCCAAAGTACATCAAACAATGCAGAGAGAAAGAAAGGCCATGTGAGAGTGTCTGATTCAATTAAAATTTAAATAGTCACCACTGGAGAGAGGAGAACCTATTCAGTAAATGGTACTGGGAAAACTGACTGACCACATGCAGAAGATTGAAACAGGACCCCTATCTATCCCCATGCACAAAGGTTAACTCCAAATGGATCAGAGACCTAAATGTAAAACCTCAAACCATGAGAACCTTAGAAAATGAAGGAAATACCCTCATGGAAATCGGAACTGGCATCCAATTCCCGAACAAAATCCAAAACCCACAGGTCATAAGAGAGAAGATAGACAAATGGGACCTTATTAAACTGACAAGCTTCTGCAAGACCAAAGAAACCATCAAGAGAGCAGGGAGACAGCCTACAGACTGGGAAAAAATATTTGCCAACACCAGGTCTGACAAAGGCTTAACATCCTGGATCTACAAGGAACTAAAACATGCTGAAAAGAAAAAAACAAACAACCCCATTATAAAATGGGCAAAAGATATGAACAGACACTTCACAAAAGAAGACATCCGAGCAGCCAACAAACACATGAAGAAATGCTCAACCTCACTAATCATCAGGGAGATGC